AAATAAACAGTTCCATACAGTCACAATATGATTACCGACATATCTGAATATCAGATCCAAATGATACTGGAGAGAGCCACCATCACAATTATTATCCACCAAAAAGGGCCACATGTCCTTCCACCTCTGGTGTGAGGTCTACATGGCGCACCTCAAGGAGGCTTAAAGCTAGCATGTTCATCTGACAGCAGCCACCTCAACATGGGAATCACAAGCCCCACTGGGCAAGGGCCTCGTCCACTTTCCTGAAACATCAGGCAGGTGCCATATTGAGGAACAGTGGCCAAAAGAGCTATAGGCGGCATGTCAAAGAGCCACATGTAGCTCCCAAGCCAATGAGTATCACTGTACTATCATAAACACACTGTAGCATAGATTCTGTAGCCATGCTTGTCTGAAGCAGCAGAACAAAGTTTGGATCCAGTGGCAACTTTAAGACCAACAAAGTTTTATTTAAGGTATTTCGTGTGCGTGCACACTTCTTCAGATACAGTGAAACAAGACATCCTTAACCATTACATATAGGTGGTTAGTTGTCAGGAAGGGCTAGTTAGAGCCAAGATGCATAAGTTACTGGGCAGTTATAAGTGAGATTGGATTAAAGCGGTTGGTAAGATCTGTGAATAGCAGTAAATTAGCACAGAAATACAAGAGTTAACAAAGAGGTGCGAAAATTCAGTTTGAGTCCAGTGACACCTCCAAGACCACCAAAGGTCAATTCTGGGTGTAAGCAAGAACTGAGAGACTTAGCATGTGTAGAAGCACACTTCTTCAGATACACTGAAACAGATTTCCTCAAATGTTACATATAGGTGGAGGGGGTGGTTGCCAGGAAGGGCTAATTAGAGTCAAGGTAACTGAGTAATAAATACACCTAAGATTGGAATAAAGCTTTTGGTAAGACCTGTGCTGAGCAGCAAATTGGCATATAGTTAATAAAAGAGTTAACAACTGATGTGAGAACTAAGTCTCAGTCCAGTGGCACCTTTAAGACCAACAAAGTTTAATTCTGGGTATAAACAGGAAATGAGTGGCTTAGCATGTGTAGTGAGTAAGAACCCGATATCTCTGTTAAGCCCTGGGGATTCCATAGTCCTGAGTGCTGTAATAACTTGCAATTCAGCAATTCTCCATTCCAATCTATTTCTGAAATTCCTTGGCAATAAAATAGCTACTTTGAGGTCCCCCATTGAGTGCCCTGGGAGGCTGAAATGTTCTCCAACCAATTTCTCAGTTTTGTGATTCCTGATGTCAGATTTGTGTCCATTTATCCTTTGGTGTAGGGCTTGAACTGTTTGCCCCATGTAGAGAACTGAAGGGCACTGCTGGCATTTAATGGGATATACAATGTTCGAAGCAACTGCATATGCCTGAGATGGTGGTAGTTGGTGCTATCAGTCCCAGTGATTGTGTTGTCTGGGTGTATGTGGCAGCAAGGTTGGCATCTGGGTTTATTACGAGCTCCAGTAACACTGTCCTTGTTCAAATTAATGTTGTATTATTGTGGGTGTGTTGTTTGAGACTGGGAAGCTGTCTGTGCGCAAGAAATGTTTTGCCCCCCAGTACTTGTAAAAGAGAACTGCCATTATCCAGTAGAGGTTGTAAGTCACTGATGATGCGTTGAACTGTTTTGGGTTGAGACCTGTAGCATATTAATGGTTGCCAAAATTACTCACATTTAAGCAATTTTTAGGGGAGGGGCTGTGGCTCAGTGGAAGAGTCTCTGCTTCGCATGCAGGAGGTCATCTTAAGTCTGGCTGCTGTATAGGTAAAAGGTTCCCTTGCTCAAAAGCCAGTCGAATCCGACTCTAGGGTTGCGGTGCTCATCTCTGTTTCAAAGCCAAAGACATTTCCGTGGTCATGTGGCCGGTATGACTAAACACCAAGGCACACGGAATGCTGTTACCTCCCCACTGAAGTGGTGCCTATTCATCTACTTGCAATTTCTTGCTTTCGAACTGCTAGGTTGGTAGGAGCTGGAACTAGAGACGGGAGCTCACTCTATCATGCGGCACCCGGGTCTCGAACTACTGAACTACCGACCTTCCACAGCCTGCAGTTCAGCGTCTTAACCAACTGAGCCACCGCTGCTGTATAACAGGTTAATAAATCTGGTAACCTGCATCCACCCTTTTCTTGGCTTTCATACACGATCTGTGATTTAACCCTAGATTTTTTGCCTTCTCATAACTATCATTTTTGCCACTCTTTTAGTAAGTGTTCAGGAATAGACATCAGCACATTACTTATCCAACTTTTTAAAAAAAATTTCTAGGGTTAAATACCCCTAGATACCTCTAAAAATGGATTTATTCTCATCAGGTGTAAGAAGCTTTGTTGTTCTATATTTGATTCATCTATTTAAGAACATCTGATTTATCATGATTTACTTTGAAACCTGCCAGAGTACCATTAGCTTCTGTGAACATTCAGTTAAAGAACTATTTAAAAATGATTAATCAATGACATATGACACCTTTGAGATTATCTAAATTTAAAAGTAGGATAAGTAATAAATGTTGGCTCTGTCTTTTAGGAAAAGCTGACTTCCAACTTATGTGTCACTGAGTGCAAATTATCTGCAATTTTCTGGAAAATAGTTCATGATGTTGTTATTAATGATATTTGGAACATTATTTTTTCAATGAAGCCTTAAGTTTTTTTACTTCATTGCACTGAAATAATTTTAGTTACCAGGGCCGTAGCCAGAACAATTTGGGTGGTGGGGCATTTGGAAATCTGGGGAGGGGCGAGGGAGCAAGGGGGGGCAGGGGAGTAGGGGGAAGAGAGAGAGATCGATTCCATCTGCAGCCAAAGTTGGCTACGGAAGCAGGAAGAAGACCTACCCCGTGTCTCTCCAACTGTCTGAGAGGCGTGGGCTCCTTGGGTTCGACTTTGGCTACAGAAGCAGGAAGACCCAGTGAGCCTGTGCCTCTTCGACTGTTGGAGAGGGATGGCAGCTCATGTGGCCACCAGAGGGAGGGGTAGGGGGGCCAGGAGGGATGGGAAGTGATGGGGCAGGGCTAATTTGGTGGGGGGTATCACCCCAAAACACCACACCATGGCTATGGGCCTGTTAGTTACTCATCGGAAG